GAAAGAAAGAAAGAGAAAGAAGGAAAGAAAGAGAAGGAAAGAAAGAAAAGAAGGAAGGAAGGGAAAGGGCAGGGAAGGGTACGTTCAACTCAAGGACACTCTGTGTGCACATGTCACCGCATCTGCACGGCGGCTCACCCTGTCCCGCGTCCCCCGAAGCCGTCGCACATCCCAGCAGAAACAGGGCGGCCGCTGCACAGGGCAGGAAGACTGTCCTCATGGTGGGGCAGAGAGGAGGCAGTAAGCAGGATCTGTGCCCTGACGCCTAACGCACAGAGGTCACCCTGTTTTTAAAGAGTGGAACAGAAACAAGGAAGTGACAACGGGAAGCAGGGTGGATCTTAAAAAGATGACTCTTGAGAAAAAAAAAAAACCAACATCACCACCAAAAAGAGACATCAGTCTTGCATCCACGCTGACGAGCTGGGCTCCAAGCCTTCCCGGCTGGTCAGGACCATCCTGAGCGGATTGGGCTCCTGCAGCCACTTTGTGCTCAGGGGTGCTGGACAGCAGGCTTCAAGGTCACCCAGAGGCACAGACATTTGGTGCCCCCTCCCCGTCTGTCTCCAGCCGCGTGGGCGAGAGCCTGGCATCCCTACGGTCACACTCTGGGGACTTTCAGAATTCGAATGACGGATCTTTTTTTTTTTTTTTTTTGGTCTCAGGGTTATGAGTTCAAGCCCCCCACTGGGGATCGAGATGACCTTCAAAAATGTTTTTCTTCAATTCTACTACTAATAACAGTGATTTCTGTATTTGCAAAAACAGCCCGTTACCAAGCATTTTCACAGACACTCACAGAATTTGTGACCAGAACGACATAGGCAAAAACAAAACAAAATAAAGCAGGAATAAGTTTATTCTAGAGTTAAAAACTGTGTGTTTAGGGGCGCCCGGGTGGCTCAGTCGGTTGAGCATCTGACTCTCGGTTTCAGCTCAGGTCACGAGTTCACAGTTTGTGAGTTTGAGCCTTGCATCAGGCTCTGTACTGACAGCCTGGAACCTGCTTGGGATTCTCTCTCTCTCTCTCTCTCTCTCTCTCTCTCTCTGCCCCTCCCCTGCTCTCTCTCTCTCTCTCTCAAAAATAAACTTTTGAAAAAAACTGTGTTTCTGAGAAGCTAACAGTGAGCTGTCTTCCAATCACGTGTTAAGTGCAGGGTGACTCAAGTCCTCCTGGCCCGAGACCAGGGATCTGTCTACCCAGAACATTCTGCACATCCTAAGTCCAACACTGGTCACCCTGGGCTAACATCAAGATGTTGGCAGGCTGGCATTCCCACTGGAATTTCTAGGGGAGAGGCTGATTTCTTGCCCTCCCACCTGCTAGGAGCTCCCTTGATTCCTTGACTCTTAGTCACTGCTACCTCCCTCCAACCTCTGCTGCCATGGGCACAACTCCTTCTCTGACTCTCACCTTTCTGCCTCCCTCGTATAAATAAGGACCCAGTGCCCAAGTGGATAATCCAGATTAATTGTCCCCATCTGCATACCTGCAAAATCACATCTACAAAAGCACTTTTGTCATGTAAGGTAACATATTCATAGATTCCAGGGATTAGGAGGTAGGTATCATAGTGTCATAGCTGATAGATAGATAGATAGATAGATAGATAGATAGATAATAGATAGATACATAGATAGATACATAGATACATAGATATGATGGATGGATGGATAGATAGATAGATAGATAGATAGATAGATAGATAGATAGACACAATGGTTGGATGGATGGATGGATGGATAGATAGATGATAGATAGATAGATAGATAGATAGATAGATAGATAGATAGAATGGATGGATTGGATGGATGCATGGATGGATGGATAGATAGATGATAGATACATAGATATGATGGATGGATAGATAGATAGAATGGATGGATTGGATGGATGCATGGATGGGTGGATGGATAGACATAAATAGATGGACAATCTTATGCTAAGGACAGGCTTCTCCACCTTGTCACTGAGGACATGTGGGGCTGGACCACTCTATGTTGTGAGGCGTCCTTTGTACTGTGGGGTGTTGAGTAGTGCCCCTGATCTCTACCCACCAGGTGCTAACAGCAGCCTCACCGAGTCATGACACCCAAACGTCTCCAGACATCACCAAATGTCCCCATGGGGGGGTGTCATCCCCTTAACTCTCCTCACCCCACCATCCTCCCTGCTGTCCTAGAGAACCTGGAGTTTCTAGCTCTTTTCTGGGGCGGGGGGGGGCTTGTCCTGCGGAAACTTCACCTCAGGATGTTTACATACAAAAGGGAGAAATGCCGGTGGACAACCCAGAAAGAAATGGCAGGAGAGGCCAACGTGAGAAGATGGTCAAGTGTTGCTCTGGCTCTCCTGTGACTTAGGAATGGTGATTTGGTGAGATTCGAATTTTATGGAAAGAGACACATGTGTAGTTTCCCCCCAAAATGGACTATCACAGCTAATCAGGTCAACCACATGAAAAAGAGTGTTTGTCCGTTGGGAGGGCCGAAGAAGCCCGAGGAGAAATTTGGAACACACGATGTTCTCCAGCACCTCCTTGTAAGCCAGTAGGGAGGGTCCCACATGTTTTACCGGTAGACACACTGAAACTCATGGCTCCAAGAAGGCTGACCGGTGGGAAAAGCATTTCAGTAGACCCAGGCCATCTTTCTGATATTCTCTGGCCCTCCCCCCTTTCACGGGGGAAGAAAACAACTGGGGGAAATCAGGAGAAAATGAGCAGCCAACGCTCCCGTCCCTTTTGGACGTAGCTCTCAAGGCTATCACCACCTCTCATGGAGATGAGACATAGGCACGCCTCCTACCTCCTTTCTTCATCATCTCCACTCAAAACCGCAAACCGATATTGTGTTGTTCGTATCTCACAATGCCAGACATGTGCGATGAATCACCAACCAAGGAAAAAAAAGGACGGGGTTGTAGAACATGAGTTCGAATGTCACTAAAAATGTCAGTGCTTCTCTAGGAAGAATGCTTCCCTTGTGTCTTTCATACGTTAGTTTCTACACGTCTGGCATGTAGGGGTTACTTGGGTATCTATTTTGGTGACCTGTATGGAACAAATCACCCCAAAATGTCGTAGCACAAAGGAACCCCAAGCTGCTGTTACGTCTCCTGATTCTGCGAGTGGACAGGACTCAGCGGCTCTACGTGGCCTTGGCTTGTGCCGTAGGCAATTGCAAGATTTCAAAGGATAGAATGTTCTAGATGGCCCCTTCATACTCCTGGCAGCTGAGCTGACTATCATCCAAGAGTTTTGGTAGGACCTTCGCCAACTGGAAGACGCGACAGGATAGAACGCTCCAGTTGGCACACCCTCATTCCCCCCACCTTCAATTGCCCAAAGCCAAGTGAGGGGCCACCCCAGACTCAAGAGGAGAGAAACAGGGGTCCGCCTCTCCTCGGGGGTTGCTGTAAAGAATTCACACTCATTTTGATGGCTCTCTAGTAGCGATCTCTTTTGAATGAGATTTGTGTTATTTCCAGAAGAGACACTTAATTCTCACATCGACTCAAGGTAAGATGTGTTCATCCCAATGACAGTTGCCTCTAGAAGTGGCTAAGCCTCCACCAGCCTTTCATGTCAAGCTCCTTCTGTAATTAATTGTGCAGAATGTGCATGGAGAGATGATCTCTTATCTTGAGTCTCGCCGGCTTTATTTCTGAATCTGCCCAACACGCTAGATGTAATCGTGAAAAAAGGCGTCGGTGCAGCTGAAAGTCGTGAGCGACGCGGTTTGCTATCAGATTAATCTCTGAGCAAAAATGGGTCCCAGTTTACTCTGCTGTAGGGACCATTATATAACAGAAGCATTTCCCCACCCCAGCGGAGAAGACTGCACTAGAAGGGAGGGATACAGGACAGTGGGGCTTGTATGCTACAGGACCACGTGAAAAGATGTTATTTCATTTGTTTCGGTAGAGATGGGAAGATGGGAAGATACACAGGGTCCGATCCAGAACCTTCTAGAGTGGGGGGGGGGGTTGGCTTCAGAGGGTGCACGAATGGACACAGGGCTGCACATGTCCGGACCGGAGAGAAGGGAGCCTAGTCTGCGTGCACTTATGTTACGTTTGTGTCTGTTCCCGTCACTTCTCTGAGCCGACAGAGACAAGCAGCACGGAGCACAGATCCGTGGACATCACAGGCCAAGGAAAACCAGACTCCTCAACTGCATGGTTTTTTTTTCTGGGCCACATAATTACAACGTCTAGCACGCAGGGCTGAGTCAGCTGAATCACAGTCCCTAAGGAAACAACTGAGTCCTAGCAGCGACACAGGAACAGGAGTCCCTGTTCATCGCTATCCCAGTAGCCTGCCTCCCCTTGCTCTGCCTCCCCCTCCCCCAACCCGGCCTTGCTTCTCACAGAAGATACCAGGAAGCAGTCACTGCTGACCAACGTCCTGGGCAAATGCGGGAGAAGTAAACCAGTTCTCCAGACTTTTCCTCAACAAAGGAAGTGCGACTGGAATAAGCAAAACTTTTTCATTTGTGATGTGATAAAGTCTCATAAACAAAATTACGTGAAACACTAGCTAAGTGGAGGCCTAAATAAATACATACATAAACAATGGGTGTCGATTGTTGATATGATAGGGCTCTGTCAGTCTGGGTATACAGCTCCCTGGGAGCGTGGGGTCCACCCTGTGTCCAACACACAGAAAGAGTATAATTCTGAAAGCTGATGGAGTGCATAAATGCATGCATGAATGAATATATAGATGGATGGATGGATGTGTGCATCATGCATTGATGGAAGGATTAATGGATGCATGGATGGATGGATGGATGGACGGATGGACGGATGGATGGATGGATGGATGGACAGACACAAGGACGGATAGATGGATGGATGGATAGATGCATGGGTGGCTGGCTGGCTGGCTGGATGGATGGATGGATGGATGGAAGGGAGGACGGATAGATAGATAGATAGATAGATAGATAGATAGATAGATGATAGGTGAATGAATGAATGAATGAATGAATGAATGAATTGATGGGTGCATGGTTGGGTGGGTGGGTGAAAACATGAAAGAATCATCCACTCTTGGTTTGAAAGATCCCTTATAGATGTTAAAATGGGTTGACTTTGTCCCTCAAAAAAGATGTTGAAGTCCTACCTACAAGAACTTATGACTATCCCTTAATTGGAAATAAGGTCTTTTCAGATGATTGCATTAGGTGAGAGACTTTGAGTGGGCTCTAATCCAATAT